TAACTAAAATTCACAGCCATTGAAATAAAGTTAAAAGGGTTTTGGGACTAATGTCCATTTGTTAGTGTCCCCATAAGCCTTGGTCAGAACAATGTGTCTAAACAAAAGGACAGTAAGCTGCCATTTTGAGGGTGAGTCAGATACTTACTCCGTCTTTGCTGGCCAGGTGGGAGGCGGCAGAGGGGGTGGAGGGGGGGGAGGGGGGGGGGGAATGGGGACCACCGGGCACTCCTCTGGGGTGTTGCGGGCCTTAGCCTCCTCCTCCTCCAGGGCTTTTACTGCAAGAGAAGGTGGAGTTTAGGAGGGAAGTCCTCGTGCCCATTGCTTTCTATGGGATTAGGATCGACAAAGGTGGCCTGGCCTCGTTTGTAGAAATTTATTGGGATTCGCCTGTCCTCCCTTGGACACTGATGGAGGGGAATAGGTCTTGTTCACGGTTGAAATGAGGGATCCTTGGTGCTCTCTCAACTCAGTTACTTTCTGGTAGACGTTCCATTACCCAACCGGGTTATATAATCAGTGTTAGAAGGGAGTAGAGTTTGTGGAGAGGAGGAGGACTGAGGGGTCCTTCATGCTCTCTGAGCTTGGTGGCTTTCTTGCAATGTTTCATTACTTTGCAGAGAGGAGGAGGAGGAGGAGGAGGAGGAGGAGGAGGAGGAGGAGGAGGAGGAGGAGCTGTCTTCTCTAAGCTTGGTAGTTTTCTTGCCAATATTTCATTACTGCACTGCACTTATGATGTTACCTAGTTGGGTAATGAAATGTCTAAATAGATAGATGGATAGATAGATAGATAGATAGATAGATAGATAGATAGATAGATAGATAGATAGATAGATAGATAGATAGATAGATAGATAGATAGATGGATGGAATTCTTTATCGGCCAAGTGTAATTGGACACACAAGGAATTTGCCTTTGGTACATATACTCTCAGTGTACATAAAGGAAAATAAAATATATACATCAAGAATCATAAGATACAACTAATAGTAACCAAGGTTACTAATAAGCAATCAAAACATACTAGGAAACAAATAAAAATATAAATTGTAAAGATACAAGCAGCACAGTTATAGTAATAAGTGGGAAGAGATAGGTACTAGGAAGGAAGAGAAGAATAATAGTAATAGTAAATTAGTAAATAAGTTGGGCAGTGTTGAGGGAATTATTTGTTTAGCAGAGTGATGGCGTTCGAGGAAAAACTGTCCTTGTGTCTAGTTGTGTTCTGGTGGGCAGGGCTCTATAATATCATTTTGAGGGTAGGTGTTGAAGCAATGCCCTCTACAAGAAAACCATCAAGCTCAGAGAGCACCAAGGCCCCCATCAAGTCTCTGATTAATCGAGAGATTTCTCCATGGGGAAGAGAGGCCAGAGCTTAGTCAATAGAGCCCAAACTCGAAGCTTGAAGTTGAGGTTGAGTTCCCACAACGGGCAAGGCTGAAATATCATTGGCTTAGTTCTAGCTTGTGGTTCAGCATCAAGGGAACCTAGCATGGCCTTCTCTTTCACATCTCTTTCTTTCCCCCCAAAATGCTTTGGACAAGACCAGCAAAACTCTGACCTTTGTGCTCCAGGATGGCACATTTCTCCTCTGCTCGGAGGAGTCGCTCCTCCAGGTGGGCCTTTCCTTCTTCTTCTGTGGCCAACATTGCCTGCAGCCTGGCCAGCTCCTGTGGCAGCGGCCGTTCCACCAATTGGGCCTCCAGATCCTTCACCTGGAAGAGTCAAAAGTCCAGCAGATGAATCCTTGGGGAGAAGGCCCACCAGGTAGGCTGGGTGTGTGCTGTGGCCCAACCAGCGGCTAATGGAGCTGGGAGCAGAGTTGGACAGAAGTTGGGGAGGAACCTGGGCCAGTCCTGGAGGTTGAGGAAGGCTCTGCATCAGAGGCAGAGATGGGGCCAGGGCAGTCTGGCAGTCATCAGCTGCCTTCGGGCTCAGACAGCAATGAGACAGGGGAGCAGCAGGAGCTGGTTCCCAGCCTGCGCGTGCGCAGAGCTGCCCCCACCCAAAAGAACAATTATGAACTAAGGGTCAATGTGGGAGTAAGGCCACAGGTGGACAGTGAATGGCCCCTCCCATGGGGATTAAAAGAAGGGCAAAAGGGGAGGGGGCTTTTGCAGGAAACGATTCGTTCGTTGCGGCAGTGTGAAGATCTGCCTGTGTACCTCAGAGACTATGTGCCGAGTCCTTCCTTGTCAGCACTGCGTTTGGACATATTTACCAAGCTAGATAAGGTCTGTGCTCTTAATTACACCCTTGAAAGACTGTTTGCCAGGCCTTTGGCGGAATGTGAATGCAAGAAGTTCACTTTCCTTTAATAAAAGGGGTTTTGCTGGGACAAAGAGTCCGCTTAGTGCTTTTAGGGGAAGCCTGGATCAGAACAGTATGTTGTGTGTCCCATCGATGTCCATCTGGGTGGTAGGATCACGATCAAGGGCCTTCTTGGTGGTGGCCCCTTCTTTATGGATCGTCCCTGTCTGGTACGATTGGCCCCTGCCTGCTTGCTTTCCCAAAAGGCCCTGAAGACTTGGTTTTATCAGTGGACCTGGGGGCCACGAGTGGAGACAGAGCCCCATCAAGTGGTCGATGTGGTTGTCTTATTGCTGCCATGTTGGTGGAGGCGCTTCCGGGTTTTTATGTTGTGGATTTTTAATACTGTGAGCCAGGGCTCTCCAAACTTGGCAATTTTAAGACTGGTAGACTTCCACTCTTACAATTCTCCAGCCAGCACAGAATTCTGGGAGTTGAAGTCTCCAAGTCTTAAAAGTTGCCAAGTTTGGAGGCCCGTGTTATAAGTCAATGCTGAGTTGGGCGACCAGGTAGATTTGGTTAATCAATCCATCCATCCCACTCCCCTTTGCCCAGTTCTAGAAGAACCTGGAAGAGCGTGGAAGATTTGCCCGTGAAGATTCAAACCATCCCAAGGGAGACCATTGGAGAATCTTGGGTCCAGAGGTGGGTATTCAGCAGGTTCTGACCAGTTCTGGAGAACCAGTAGCGGAAATTTTGAGTAGCTCGGAGAACTAGCCAATCCCACCTCTGACTAGCCCTGCCAACCCCATCTCTTCTCTGCCTCCCGAATCCCATCTGATTGGCTGGGTCTCCATTGGTTGCCCTGCACAGGAGAACGGAGCTGGAAAGCAGGTTAGGGAGCTGGGGAGGGAAGGGGGATTTTAGTATATCTTTCCCCTGCCACGCCCAACAAGCCACACCATGCTCACCAAGCCACGTCCACAGAACCGGTAGTAAATTGTTTTTGAATCCCACCACTGCTTGGGATCCTGTTGGCCTTCAGATCCCATTGTAACCCATTCCAAATCCCGCCCCATCTTGTCCCTCCCCCCACCTAGGAGAGTTGGAGGGCCTCTTCTGCTCCCAGGATACTTTTCTGCTATAGGGCAAGAGCTTACAACAAGTGGATTTTGAAAAGGAAGGGAGAAAACCTGATGCTCCTAAACTCACTTGGGCTTCGTGCTCCATCTTGGTTTCCTCCAACTCCTTGGTCATCTTGGCCAAATCCTCCAAGGCCAGGAGAAGCTGACCGTCCACTCCGACGTTCTTCATCAGGATCATGCTCTGCCGATTGGCCTGTTTCTGCTTCACCAGCATCTATCGAGGGAGGGAACCAGGGTTGTCGGGGTCCTTGGCGCTCTCTGAGCTGGGTGGTTTCCTTGCGGAACATTTCATGACCCAACTAGGGAACACTATCAGTGCTAGAAGGAATGGGGTTTGTGGAGGAGGACGAGTGGCGCTTGGTGCCTCTCTGAACTTGGTGGTTTTTCTTGCGGGCATTTCATGACCCAACTAGGGAACATCATTAGTGCTAGGAGGGAGGGGGGAGGTTGCTCTCAATTTATATTCTAATTAACTTTGGGGAGAGTGATGTCGGAAGTTCTTGGATTGGGCTGTTTAAGAGAGTTGGAAGGGACCTTGGAGGTCTTCTAGTCCAACCCCCTGCTCAAGCAGAAGACTCTATATACCAGTGGCGGCAAACCTTTTGGGGATCCTGTGCCAAAAATTATGCGCATGCTTGCACTCGCATGCCAGCACTCAGAAGGCAATGCGCCTGCCCCCACGCCCCCTACGCATGCATGCGTAATCCCCACCTACCCACTTACTCCTACCACCCCTTACCCGCACTGCACCTCACAGTTGATTTTTGGCCGGTTTGAGGCGTTTTTTGGCCTCCCAAAGGCTTGAGGAAGGCTTCTGCAGGTTTTGCAGGCCGAAAACTAGCCCCGTTTCATCACTTCCGGTATTTTCAGAAAAACAGGAAGCGATGAAACGGGGCTAGTTTTCGGCCTGCAAAGCCTGCAGAAGCCTTCCTCAAGACTTTGGGAGGCCAAAAAACACCTCAAACAGCTGAAAATCAGCTGTGAGGCATACGCATACCCAGTGAGGTAAGTCTGCCTGCAGCTCGCGTGCTGGCAGAAATGGCTCTGCGTGCCACCTGTGGCACGCGTGCCATAGGTTCACCATCGCGGCTCTAATTAAATCATGATTCTCGAGCCAAACTTCAAAAAAATTTCAAAGGATTCATTACAGGAGAAATAGCGGCACTCCCCTGTATGAAGCCAACTCAAGCATACATAATTTGCAGTCCTCTGTGACCCTGTTTCCTGCCCAGGGTGTCTCATAAACCAGATTCTCCAATTGAGCACGTTCATGGGTTGGATGTCATCCTTCACGTTCTCCAATGAAATATATTCGCGGGCAAAAGCTCTGGTAGTTTAGTTACAATCTTTTAAAGAGAAGAGTTGGAATGGACTTTCGTTTTGCTGCACTGCTCTTCCAGGTTTCTTCCCCCCTCTCTTTTTTGTATGGCAACTACTAAAACAGGCCCAAGCTTATTTTATGAGTTGACACCAGAATTCCTCAGTTGGCTGGGGAATTCTGGGAGTTGAAGTCCACATCTCTTCAAGTTGGTGAAGATAAGAACCATTGTCTTGGGGGGGGGGCAGCATCAAAGAGAAATCAGGGCAAGGTGTGTGTGTGTGTGTGTGTAAGGACCTCCATGGGGCAGACACTAGATCTTCCCTTGCCCCCTTGCCTTGTATTCCACCTGTCTCAACTGTTTGTGGGGAAGGGTCCTTGTGCCCTTGAGGCAGGGGTGTGATTCAACTGGTATAACAACCAGTTCGGTGAGCGCCAGAGGTGGTATTCAGCCGGTTCTGAGCAGTTCTGGAGAACTGGTAGCGGAAATTTTGAGTAGTTCGGAGAACCGGCCAATCCCACCTCTGACTGGCCCCGCCAACCCCATCTCTTCTCTGCTTCCCATTGAGTCCCAGCTGATCAGCTGGGTCTTCTTTGGTTGCCCTGCACAGGAGAACGGAGCTGGAAAGCAGATTAGTGGGGTGAGGAGGGAAGGGGGATTTTGCAGTAGCCTTTCCCTGTCGCTCCCACCAAGCCACGTTCACCAAGCCACACCCACAGAACTGGTAATTTAAAAAAAATGGAATCCCACCACTGGTGAGTGTGTACTGCGTGCATGCTCCGCCTTTTAAAAAGAATACTTATCTTCAATGGCAGCTGAAGAAAACAGCTGAGGCGTGGCAAACCACTCTGCCACGCGGATCAGCTGATCATTGGAACAAGGGGTTCGGCTGAACCGATCCGAACCGGGAGAATCCCAACCCTGCCTTGAGGGTTTGCAGAGCCCCCGCAAACATCCTCTCCCACCAAGTTAAACTCCCAGAGTCTAAAAAAAAGAGAGGGGCCCAACTGCAACTCACTCACCTCATGGGCAAAGATTTCTGCTTGCTGCCTGAGTTTCTCCTCCAGATCCAACTGCAGCGACATCCGGCTGTACTCCTCGGCGACCAACCGGGAGGCTGGAGGGGTTACAGGAGATACAAGGTATGGGTTCTGGGTCTACCTGGGTCAGATCCAAAACCCTTTGGATTTTGACAAGAGAGCCGGGTCTGCAAAGGTGAGGCTCACCTGTCTTTGTAGCAAAGAAGGTGAACTGTGGAAAACCGGTCAATTAAATGAAGGGAAGAGAAGAGGAAGAGAAAAGAGGAGGAGGAGTGAGGGGTCCTTGGTGCTCTCTGAACTTGGCTGTTTCCTTGCAGATGTTTCATGACCCCATTCGGTAACATCAGGACCAAGCTTTCTATAGATCCACCTCCCTACTCTGAGAAGGTAGGGGAGAAATAGGTAGAAAATGGAGTCCCAAACTCACCTTGTTTGACCTTCTTCAGCATCTTCTGGTTGTCTTCCTTCAAAGCTTTCAGAGACTGCTTCTCAGCACGCTCCTCTTCTAGCTTAGTTCAAAAAAAGAAAAAGGAAGGATGGAAAGAAGGAAGTATGGATGGAAGGAAGGAAGGAGAGGGGTAGGGAAGGAAGGAAAGGAAGGAAGGAAGGAAAGAAAGAGAAAGAAAGAAAGAAAGGAAGAAAGAAGAAGGAAGAAAGAAAGAGGAAGGAAGGATGGATGGAAGGAGGGAGGGAGGGAAGGAAAGAAAGGAAAGGAAGGAAGGAAGGAAGGAAGGGAAGGAAGGAAGGAAGGAAAGAGAAAGAAAGAAAGAAAGAAAGAAAGGAAGGAAGAAAGAAAGAAAGAAAGAAAGAAAGAAAGAAAGAAAGGAAGGAAGGAAGGAAGGAAAGAAAGAGAAAGAAAGAAAGAAAGAAAGAAAGAAAGAAAGAAAGAAAGAAAGA